CGTCCTTGGGCCAAAAAAGTATTGTTTGGAAAATTTCATCTCAATCGGATAATAAATGCGACCTGCATTTTGTTCACAAGAATACATGGACAGACGGACGGACGGACGGACGGACAGACGGACTGACATGCATAAATCGACTCAGAAAGTAATTCTATGAAGGTTCTCAAAAGTAACTATGGGTCTATCTCGTTTCCTTCTCCATGTTACAAACAAATGCACAAAGACATAATACCCTTACCACTATGTGGTGTAGGGTATAACTACTTAATTCTTCACACAAAATTTCCTGAGCAAACACTCATGTTTGTACATTGTTCAAATCAAATCACTCTCAGAACAACGAAAAAATATGTCCCATCTCTAACAAATGAGAGCATTTATCGAAAAAATAAATTAAAAATTAAAACTAGAAAAATTTAATAACATTTTGAAAATTTTTGGGAAGACTGAAAATTATGAATGAAAACTACAATGTTGAGTTCGCCAATTATCCCCTCCCCTTTCCCTCCCTTTTAGTTCCCAACGCGCTTAGGGATTTTAAAATATAAAAAAAAAACTACAATGTTGAATAGCGTATGTACATTCTTACGAAAGTAAATTTTGTTTTCTTTCTCATCCGAGGTACGCATTTTGTCCACGAGTTGAAATTTCCACAGAAAACTGGAAACAAAAGAGGCAATATTTTCAAAATGTTTGTATCGGCAGAAAAAATGTTTGACAGGTGTCTCTCCAGCAGAATTTAAAAATAGAAAAAAATACTAAAATATGTTCAAAATGTCAACATTTACACAAAAAGTTGAAAACGTGAATGAAAATTGTAAAATTAATGATATAATTATTCTTTGGAAGAATGATAGTATTTTCTTCTATTCATATTAGTGATAATTTCATGTATTTTCGTATAAATTCCTATTAATTTCAACAAACATAATTTTTTAAAAAAGGAATTATTTTACTATGAATTACGAATCGTGCCATATGAAGTGGTTAATTCGTGTACCTAACTCTGAGAGCGAACAACGTTGTTCGGTTTACAATGGAAACATGCTATTATCGTCTTCTGAAGTAATATTATTCGTATAGTCCCACTTATCCAATAAATACTTAAAAAATTTAAATTAAATTTTTGTCCGTTATCGCTTTATACTCCCAAATTTTCATATTAGAATTCAAAAAAAAAAACAGAAAAACACTACTAATGTACATTGGAATGTAATAAGTCAAAATTGAATAATATCATGCAATATAAAACATAACTATTCTACATTTCAAAAGTAAAAATGAAAATGTCCAAATTCCACATTTGTACGCGATTGCATTTTATCCTTTTCTACTAAGAGACAATTTTGAATTTTTCTGAATCGTTAAAATCAGACCAGCAGTTCTTGAGTTATAAGAGTATTAACTAACACAACTTTCTATTATATATATAGATATAGATTCCTATTAAGTTATTTATTCATAACTTTATTTAATAATTATTTTAGTTTTTGTTTTCATCATCTACGTAGAAAAACAGGTTCTGTGTCACCCTGTGAATTTCGATAAGTCGTTGTTATCGAAAGTGAGCGTCTTTCCTAATGCTTAGTTCACATGGCACTTGATTCGCTCTCTACTCGTTATTCGACTATTAATTGCTTAATTCCCACATAAAATTTTCTAAACGAACAAAAAATAAAATGTTGAATGGCGTATGAAAGTAAATTTTTTTTGTCTCCCTCATTTGAGGTACACTTTTTGCCCACTAGTTGGAATTTCGACAGAAAACTGTAAACAAAAGAGGCAATATTTTCAAAAATTTTGTATAGACCAAAATTTATTGACTCTAAAACCGAAGTTAGAAACAGAAAATTACAAAAATGTATGTAAAATTTTAACATATATACAAAAAGTCGAAAACATAAAAGAACATTGTTAAATGAAAGATAAAATAAATCTTTGGAGAAAAAAACAAAAATGTCTTCATTTATTTGCTCCGTTCCAGTACCTGCAAGAATCTACTAGTTTTAAAATTTTATTGGTGTACATATTTCTGGGAGCGAACAACATGTTTGATATTGCAATGAGAACATAGAATAACTTCACACAGAATCTTCTAGTTTGCAATTTTTTCGTTACCATAAAGGGAAAATCGGTTATCGTAGTAAAAAGTTTTACATTCTTGCGAATATAATATAATGGAGCGAATATAGTGCAGTGGAAACGAATCAAAAGGAAACCACAGCGAAAACCTTCAAAATATGTAAGACCCAATGGCAGACCCAATATTTCTACAAAAAAAAAAGATCTAGTCTAAAGATTGTTTCATTCTTTTGGTATCTCCCCCACAAAGCGTCAAAACTTGGAATAATTATAACACTCGCAAAATGCGAAATAAAAAACAAATTCTTTTCAAACTCTCCACATCGAAATAACTCTACAAACACATGATTGGGTGAGATGATAGGATATATCGGATCACTCCTTCAAGTACCTCCCCACAAAGAGCCAGAATTTTGAATAATAAGATCTGTTGTTAAATGAAAAAGAGTACCATTATCTTTAGATGTGGCAAATCGAAATATTTCTTCCAACACAATATCTGGTATAAAGAATAGATGGAATGGAATCACTCCTTCTGGCACACCATCCTCACACTACAGACGCTCCGGAAAATCCGATTATTTTCAAATTAAATCAACCTAATAGTTCAACAACACAAGATTTAATGTGAAGATGGAATATATCGGCTCACTTTTGAGGTACACTTTTTGCCCACTAGTTGGAATTTCGACAGAAAACTGTAAACAAAAGAGGCAATATTTTCAAAAATTTTGTATAGACCAAAATTTATTGACTCTAAAACCGAAGTTAGAAACAGAAAATTACAAAAATGTATGTAAAATTTTAACATATATACAAAAAGTCGAAAACATAAAAGAACATTGTTAAATGAAAGATAAAATAAATCTTTGGAGAAAAAAACAAAAATGTCTTCATTTATTTGCTCCGTTCCAGTACCTGCAAGAATCTACTAGTTTTAAAATTTTATTGGTGTACATATTTCTGGGAGCGAACAACATGTTTGATATTGCAATGAGAACATAGAATAACTTCACACAGAATCTTCTAGTTTGCAATTTTTTCGTTACCATAAAGGGAAAATCGGTTATCGTAGTAAAAAGTTTTACATTCTTGCGAATATAATATAATGGAGCGAATATAGTGCAGTGGAAACGAATCAAAAGGAAACCACAGCGAAAACCTTCAAAATATGTAAGACCCAATGGCAGACCCAATATTTCTACAAAAAAAAAAGATCTAGTCTAAAGATTGTTTCATTCTTTTGGTATCTCCCCCACAAAGCGTCAAAACTTGGAATAATTATAACACTCGCAAAATGCGAAATAAAAAACAAATTCTTTTCAAACTCTCCACATCGAAATAACTCTACAAACACATGATTGGGTGAGATGATAGGATATATCGGATCACTCCTTCAAGTACCTCCCCACAAAGAGCCAGAATTTTGAATAATAAGATCTGTTGTTAAATGAAAAAGAGTACCATTATCTTTAGATGTGGCAAATCGAAATATTTCTTCCAACACAATATCTGGTATAAAGAATAGATGGAATGGAATCACTCCTTCTGGCACACCATCCTCACACTACAGACGCTCCGGAAAATCCGATTATTTTCAAATTAAATCAACCTAATAGTTCAACAACACAAGATTTAATGTGAAGATGGAATATATCGGCTCACTTCTTCCGATACTACCCCCACAATAGGTCGGATGTCGAAACAATACAAAAAGATTCATTGCGGCCCGCATCACTTTTATTGCAAAGAAAACTCTAAAGATGCAGAGAAAACTTTCTCATATTTTTAAACTGAAATATGTGTTATTTTTTTCTCAAACGTAAATGACAACAGTATTACAATGAAATGGACAATTTTGAAAGTCAATGGACAATTTTGAAAGAAATTAGTTGTGTTCCAGTACTTTTTTAGTAGTAAAACTAGCAGAAGAGAGAACAGTTCGAAATGTCATTCTCATTTAGGTTTGCTCAAAAAATAAGGGAACGAAAAATTAGCAGAAATGCGATAAAATGTCAAAATTCAAAATTCCAAAAGTACACAGCCTAAATCGGACTGGTGAAACCTTACTGAAAAGAGCGCCAACATTTAAGAAATGAGTATTGAAGACGATAAGTTAAAATTAATAATTTATAATAATAATTAATAATCTGATTCCTCATTCAGCCAGTCCTCTTCATCAGTTGCTCCATATTTTCTCTTTTTTTTGCGCGACAAATATTAGTTTTTCCTTTAGTTTTCAAGTTGATCATTTTCTTTATTGAAATGTATACATTTTTTAACCTTGTTAGCCCTGCCAATTAAATGTCAAATTAACAATATGCACATTTCTGCTCGGCCAAATTCATGTAGGTAAAACAAGCAGAAATGTGCACCACTCAGCGCCATTTTTTTTCTCGAGAGAGCTGCAAGTTTTGCTAGTTTTTGGAGTACGGGAACGCGTTGTAGCAGAATTAGTGTTAATTAGTACTAATTTGCAGGTTCTGGAACACAACGATTGTAATTATATTATTGCATGACTTTACCTTCTTAATTCTAACAGGGTCTCTCCATGGTAGAAGAATATAGGTAGACGCATCGACGCAGCTGCTGGGACAATGAACTGTCAAACCAATTTTGGAATTGAAAATGTTGAATGAAAAGTTATTTTAATTTGTAAAAATTGTTGAAAAAGCCTTATTATAATAACATCCGAATGACGTCGTATTAGAAAACATATAAAAATCTACTTATATTTGAAAATAAATTAAATAATGTTTGACATATCAATGCTCCCAAGCGTTGATGCATCTACCTGTATTTTTCTACCATGGGTCTCTCTATGTATTATGTTAAAAAATCGTTTTATGTTCATGAATTATTGAATCGATAATCCGACTATACATCCCTAACACATAACCACCGTTGTTTCCTCTTCCCATTCGTAACATAGGGCGCATGACGAGTTTTTTATCTTGCCTCTTTTTACATTCGCCACTCTCTGTTTCTGATATTTTTTGCATTGGCATTATAAACGCCATTCAATACAAAAGAAAACAACTCAAACTTGATTGGCGATATTATGAATAAATAACTTTAAATCGACCGGTATCATATTGGCATACACAGATATACAACAAGAAAATGAATATCGACGACGTTATTTATGTAGTATGCCTCCTGGCCTGTATTGGAGCAGGCAACTATGTGCGAAAAGTCCCTGATAAAACCCAAAAGAAGTATATTAGCACAGCATTGGGCATATTGATGGTCTTTATTGTGTCAGGATGGAATTCTTTTCATTGTTTCGTGTCGGCCTTGTTGGGTGCAGCTGCTGTAATATACGTACATCCGAGGTATGTATTGAAACAAAGTGCAAAGTTGGATCTTGACATATTTGTAATATTAAAATCAAATCACCTTCGTTGCAGTAAATGCCATTTAGCAGCCTTTACTGTCATGTTTGGATACTTGGCGTTCTTCCGTTTGGCTAGTATGTTTGGTCTTCCAGATCCTCCGGGACACATTAATATGATTCAAATGATAATGACCTTAAAAGTAAGAGATTTGTGTACAATATTGAAGTCGCTTATCTACTCATCGACAAAATTTCAGATTGCTGGTATAGGTTTTGAAAAAACTGCCTCCTGGAAGAAACTTAAAGAACGCGAAAAGAATGAAGATGTAGAAATTTCAGAGTACGATTCAATTATTCAGTCTGTTAATATCGTTGAAATTCTCCATTACTCCTTTAACTATATCGGTATTTTGACGGGTGAGTGTATACATACATGCATCTTACTAAACGGTGTTGCTATCAACGACAAAAAAATAGACAAAAGATAAGCTATGAATATTAGGTTTCATGAATATAAATATCAAAGGTAGAACCTGGTGCAAAAACACTTTAAAACAATTAATATTTATCGCTGTCTACCCATAATCTGTGTGAACTGATAAAAACGGTTAGTCGTAATTCCCAAGTTCTATATTACTTTGGTGCCAATCAATCGCCTACCACCTGTTGTCATAGACATAAGCACACTTAGAGTGTGTATTTAATCTTTCCAATAAAGGATGGCCAATGTAGTGCAGATTAACGAAAAACTACTCTCAAGTTGGGTTCTTGTTATCTTAAAACTTTTAACAGAAAATGCAATAAAATTAGTATTTATTTTAATTTTTTTTATAAAAATATAATATGTTTTGGGAGTGAAAATGACCAAAAACAGAGTTTCTTCCTGATTTTGCATTCAATCTGAATGGGGCTATATTTTAGGACAAGGCAGAGATAATATTAAGTGTATGAAATCGACCATTTTTGTGAACTTAAAACATTCTTAAATTTAAATCATTTACATTTTGAATAATCATATATCTACATTTTGAATAATAATAATAATAATATACCTCTTATAAAATGTGAAATAAGAGTCCCATCGTCTAAAAAATTCGCGCATCCCGATCTTTCTACCAACTCAAAATAGGGTGTATAGAACTGATAGAACGGATAGCTCCTTCTGGTACCTCCCCCATATCGGCTGATGATGACATTCATAAAAGTGGAATGAAAATATGATTATTTTCAAACTTGGTATGTCCTAGTATTTCCACTAGTAGAAGATCAAGTGTGAAGATGGATTTATCGGTCAATTCTTCAGGTATCACAATTTTAAATGATCATTTTTTTATAAAATATTTCTGGCAACCCCAGATCTGATAGGAAGAACGAATCCTCCTACAGGTACCTACCTCACAACGAGGAAAATGATCATCAGATTCTCTTCAAAATTAGTACAACCTAATAGATCTAGTGAGGAGATGCGATACATCGAACCATTTTTCTTATTGCTTCCTAAAATCAATCAATTGCTTATAACCCTTATACATGCACAAATAGTCAACAGTTCTCTCCAAACATCGTTTATTTCAATATTTCTATCAAAAGTAGATCTAATGAAAATATAAAAATCGATCCACTGTTTCTTGTAATTACCATACAACATTCCAGAATTTCCAATCATATACAAGTATTGCATTAAGTTTTTAAACATCATTCAGTTAAATAACAAATGTGTGCGTTACACTTTTAAATTGTTGAAAAAATCGAATCAAATTAGATATTTTTACTATAAAAATATTGTTACTTGATGATATAATTTAACATTGATTGTTTATCATCTGAATCGTTATTAAACAAATTAAATGATTGGCCGACATTCCATATTGGCCACAAAACAGCGGATTTTTATTCAGTTGAAGATACTGAATTTTCCACATTGATAATATTTTTCCAGTAAGAATTTTCAAACACTCAATCAAGTCCCTATTTATTTTTGACAACAATTGAATATTAAACCTAATAGTTTTTACACTATTTTCTTTGAATTTCAAATCGCAATTATGTATTTCGCTGCAAATTTAGTAATTAGATGGAATTAGATTTATTTTGTGGATTTTGGTTTATCGAATAATTTGCCAATACTTAATACATAAATGAGCTACTCCATACACAAATTCTGCAACATATGTTATGAAATACACATTTAATTTGATCAATTGCTTTGCTTTTAAATAAGCTTCATTAATCGTATCAACTTGAAATTCGTTAAAAAAAAAACATAAGTTTAAGTGTTTTGAATTTTGTTGTCATAAACAATTTTGAGCTTTCGTCTCCTTCCCAAAATCTTTGATATGTCGGAACATAAACATTATTTTGTTAATTTTGGTTTAATGTAGTAGTAATAAAAAATGCACTTCCCCCAATATTTTTAACTTACCAAATTTACTTCCAATAACTACGACCATAAACACACTTCCTTTAATTTACGAAAGCATTTTATTCAGTAACCCATTTCGTTGTTTTTAATGTTTATACTCTCCACAATGGAAAGGAGGTTATATTAAATATGCCATTCCGTTTGTAACACCTCATACCTCACCTCAATATAACATATAATTAACATTTCTGGAGAAAAACGCATGAATTACAAAACAGACACGGTATACGCAAATATACAGGAACATTTTTGATAAACAATATATATATATATATAATTTTAAATTTTCAGGTCCATATTACCGTTATCGGACTTATCGTGATTATTTTGAAACTCCATTCTCCGTCCACGCTCCCACTTGGAAAACAACTTTGGATCGCCTAAAGTATGCCGGCTTTTACTGCAGTCTGTATCTCTTGGGCAATTCAATTTGGCCTTTAGAGGTAATTTTGAACAAAATAAGAAAATTGTAAACGCTAATCAAGCATTTTATTTATAGTATGCCTTGACCGATGAATTTTACAATGAACGCTCCTACTTTTATCGCCTCATGTATGTTTGGCCAACATTTATAATATTCCGTATGCGTATATACACCGGCCTAACATTGAGTGAGTGCGTTTGCACAATGGCAGGATTCGGTGCATATCCTGTTGAAGCTGATGTGGTCAATGGCGGTGGTCCACGTAAACCATATAAACATTTTAATCCCGATACATATAAAGGCGAATATACATTCACTGCTATTGTAAACACCAACGTAATGGATGTAGAAAAGAGTCCAATGTTCCGTGAAACTATGAAACACTGGAATATTTGTGTACAATATTGGTTGGCGGTTAATGTATATAAACTGTTTCCAAGCAAAAAATATAGGTAAGATATTAAGAACTACATTCTGATATAATTTACGCAGCCGATGTCAAAGACCTACTCCAATAACATACTTTGTAACCAATTCTTCTAGTTAATTAAAATTCATATTGACTTTGATTCATTTCAGAACTGTAGTCACATTATTGGTCTCTGCGTATTGGCATGGTTTCCGGCCTGGTCACTATTTTTGTCTGATGGGAGCTCCTTTCTATGTACACAATGAAGATATTTGGGATAAATTGATACGCAAAGATGCTACCGGCACTAAACGCAGAATACTCGACTTTCTCTTCTGGTTCTTTAAATTCTTCAGTGGCGGTTATATGGGTACCGCCTTCTTACTTGTGACATTTGAAAAGATTTGGCGATTCTATAGTTCAGTTTATCATACATGTTATGTTGCTTGGTTAGTACTTTTGGTCGTTGGTACAATTTGGACAAAACAAAAGAAAGCTGAAGAGAAACGTAGAAAACGCCTTGAAGAAAGCAAAGCCGAACCCGCAGATTAAGATAAGAAATCCCAATAAATAGCATGTAAGATTGGGATACCGAGAACAAATGGAAACTCTATATTATTGTTTCTCCATTTTCTTAGTAACACAACACATTGAAACATAATTAAAAAAAATTATTTTTAAAAAATGTGTAGTAGTCGAAAGCACAGTCCGCCGTTGGACATAGTAGTTAGATTTTATCTTGATATTAGAATGTGGGGGATAGTTTTAAATAAAAGCCAAACCAAATTTATAAAATATAATTTAATGCTATTTTAGTAGCGCTAGCAAAAGTTTTAATTATGATAATTGATTTTGCAGCACAAACTGTTTTTATATACATAGAAAAAAGCATGCATTTTTTTCTATGTAATTTTTATACATCATTGCGACAACAAGTTAAGTGAAATAAATATTTAACGAAAACGTTACTACATTGTCCCATCTTCCCGATTTTCGATTTTATTTATTTAATTAGAATTTATTCAATCTCGTATTATGTTACTCTTTTTGAACGTATGTCTTCGTACAAATTTTTTTTCTAAATATTGTATGAGACTTAAAAAAAAATATATTTTACGGATTGGTCTTATTGAGTTCCAATCAAACTCTTCCCAATTATTCATTAGTGAAAACTTTGTTAATATCGGCATTTGTGTGATGTGGAATACATAAAACGCAAATGCAATAAATGTGACAAATAGCTGGGATGGGGTTGCAAAAACAAAAAATGGTTATATTACTTTATATTACCTTACAATAACTTAATTATTTTTCAAGACATACAAACTGGGGAACAATACTATTTCCCTTTTTATAAATTTGAACCAATTAATTAATGTAGTACCCCATTACCCCTTCATTATCTTCATTTAAAAAAATGGCTAATTCGGAATCATCTTAAGTCATTCTTTTTATTGTACTTTTCTTTATAAAATATGAACTATTGATTGTATATACTATATGTGCAAATATAGATATATAGAAAATTACAATAATAAAGACTTAATGCTGATTCTGAATACTTGGGTACATGTGAAATTATACTCACATTATTCAATCATAATTTTAATAATGAGATATAAAAATTTGACTTATGTCAACAGGATCCAAAATGGTTTCCACCATATACCTGATTCACGTATTTAATGCACCATACTTTTCACTTCAATGTGAAAATGTCTTCCAACAACTAATTTGTTGCTTCTCGTCCTGTTTATTGATTGCAATTAAAAAATGTAATTAGTTTTGTTTTTATTTCCAATTATGGTTTTTATTTTTATTGCGAAAAATACTTTTATAGAATAAAGAATACTTTGAGAGTTGTAAATATAAATTGGTAAAATGAAATAAAGAGAGAGACACTAAACTACACTAAAAATAAAATAAATTGCAACTACAATAATATTAATATTTGCTATCGTAAATTTATTATAAGGCTTATGAAGTTAAATTAAGAAAAATTCATAAAATTGTGAGTCTGTCATCAGTATGTCATTAAATACTTTTTGTTAGTTATTTTCTTGTGTTGCATTTGAACACACTTATTACATTTTTATAGAAAAAATCTATAAATATTCGATACCAGCTCGAATTATTTTGTTTATTGTTTTAATTAAATATAAATGCAAATATAAAAAGGGGAAAGAATAACATGAAAATGAATACAAATTAAATTCTATAGCAAGATAAAGATAATAATTCCATCATAAAATGGCAAGCCTTTTAAAGTCATCTGCACAAATAGCACTTGTAAGGTGCATGCAAAAAGTTTAAGTCCCTCCATGACAAACAAACGAACAAAAAGTGCATTGAAAATGTCATAGATCTCCTTTATAATTTAAGTGAGAAGAAGTTTAGCAAATGTCATGCTGATGTGGGTTCATCTGTGTAAAGAAGAAAAACATGTAAAATGGTTTTGGTGTCAGAAATTCAATTGTTACCTGTTACCAAAGACATGCGTCTTTTAACATTCTGGGTGGTATTATATGCCCCACAATGTACACATTTTAAGCCAATGTAATGAAATTTTGTCTTCGAAGTCTATGAAAAAATAAAAACAGAATGTTAATGGATTTACATTTACAAATAATATTTAAAACTTGTTTAATTTTTTCTGTTACTAAGTACTTTTTCCACTAAAATACAGAATTTCCAGATGGCTTACCTTATGGCAGTCATTGCAGAATATGTGTATTTTTTGATTTTCATATTTTTTTGGTACTGGCATCAACTCCGCCTGAGCATCTAAATATTCCCACAATGCTGTCATGTCAATTAGCGACGTCTGACACGTTGGACATGTATAATGGCCAGAGGCTAATAGTTGGTCAAAACATAATTTATGCAGTAAATGGCCGCAGTCAGGAATGTGACATGGAATGCGTGAGGTATGTATGTCCCCCAAGCAGACTGGACAATGGGATCGTGATATATTCTCCACACACTACAAAAGTATAAGTTCATTAGAATCTGTTCTTATATAACTGAGTACATGAAATAATTTGCATACCCTATGACCTGCAATCTTAAGTTGTATGGGCAAACACATATCGCAGACTTCACAGTGGAAAAAATTATCTCGACCACCTATGCGACAAATACCACACTGCCTGCAGTGGTATTGTTGTTTATCGGAATCATCAAATAAATTACATATCAGACAGGTATACTATGTGTAAAAAAGAAATTGATATTAATAATTTTACGGATAAATTGCAAATATGTATTATTATATGCAAAGTATTAATATATATACGCCTTTACTAGTGACAATATATTTTTCTGATTTCAGATTATGCGATGAAGAGATAATTAAACTAGATTTCTAAATGTACATATACAAATGTGCATGGCGGTCAACTTACTTTTCCAAAAAGTATTCCACAATTTTGACAGCGATCTTGAACCTTTTGTCGGGTATTGCATTCAGTGCATATCAGTTCTGTGAGAGTTTTTCGATCGAAATGATGAGATTCATTTTCGTCGTGGCAAAAACGACATTTGTAAAATTTATTGCAACATGGAGTCTGAAATAAAAATAAAATAGATTTCATTAAACATATCATAGATGAATTATTTTTCAATGCGACTATGGTTGAAACTTGCATTGCAGAATATTGGCTGATAGCTGACATAAAAAAGACAAATAACTAAATATTGGCATTTGCCTTATGTTTAATATCTTTAATGATCATATTATTCTTTACCAACATATCAGTTGAAAAGTTTGCTAGCATTGCAGACATTTATATACTTCATAATTTTTAGTTAACTATGCTTAGATTGGTTTCTTTTTAAGATTAGACAAAACCGGATAGCCTATGATTTGAGGCAACTGCAACTATTTAAAAAGGAACGTGTGTTGGTTTTAATGCATTTGTTAATTTTAATAACTAATGCCATAAAAAAGAACTTCTGAATTTTTAGGATAGCCTATGATTTGAGGCAACTGCAACTATTTAAAAAGGATCGTGTGTTGGTTTTAATGTATTTGTTAATTTTAATAACTAATGCCATAAAAAAAGAACCTCTGAATTTTATCTCAAAATTATTTTTTATTTGAAAATACAATCCTTCTGCTTAACAATTTTATTTAAATGACTCTGTCAGCTGACCATGCAGAATCCTACCAAATTGGTAGGGTACCTCACAAATAATGATGCAATGGTGTCAAATTGCAGCTCCGAGTCGTCCAAACGACATCAGCTCTGCGGCTGACCCAAATGTGACAATTGTTCTTATTTACATAGAAGTTTGATGGTGCTTCTTCGGTATGCAATTTTCGCACACATTCTGCAACATTAGCATGATTTTCAAAGTAATGTCGCAAAATGTATTATGTATTCGCTCAGCTGAAGGATAAATCTAATTATCTTTCGAACCAGACATATTGTAAATGTTACTATTCACGAAATAAGCACTAGATTAAAGAGAAAATGTTGTATGGCGGAACCTGATTTTCAACATTGTCGAAGAACTAGTATGGTTTGACAAACACAACTAACTTAATCCGTATAGGGTTGTTATTTCATATATTTCAAATGACAATCTTCTATTAAGAAAAATGATTAAAAAAATCTCTAGTATTCCGGATGAAAACTACGAAAGAGGACTTCGAGTAAAGTGTCTCCAATATTTTGAACCCAAACCAAACCCTTATTTTGTATAAACCTTCAGATTGAGCCGAAATTTAATACACAGCGTGTCGACTAACTGTTTTCATTATAGAAGAATGACAAAAATACCATTTCTTTTATGACCTACCAAGATAGATTTATTTGTTCAATACAGGAAGGCACGCAACACGAAGTAAGACGATACCAAAGAGTGTGTGTATGTTGGAGGATATGCTAACCTGAAGTACAAAATAACAGCTATTTTGAACTTGAAAGGATTCTGATCTTTTTAAATAACTTATAATTAAAATTGGGAATTACATTACATGCATAAACTATGAGAATAATATTGAATATTTCTTGGGAAGAGAAAACCTAACTATTAAGAACCGAAAACGGAGGAAATTGTTATTGGGGCTGTACCTTATTGTGGTCCATTTTTTGAAAAATTCCTACAAGGTCTATATAAAATAATGTGAGCTCTCTCTAGGATAGTTAAGGAATTAAAATTAATGTGAATGTTGGCATTTGCGGTTCCCAGTAGTAATTGTATAATTTCAATGTGCAGGTAAGCTAAAAGCGTTTTTCGTTCGATTATGGAAAAAAATTAAACATATTCTTGACATGTTTATAGATAGCAAGTTTATATTACCATAAGTTTAAACAATGTTTAGCAAAATGCGCTTGGAAACAGAGGTTTTGATCTGCTAGCCTTATTTTGGTAACACGAAAAGGTAATTTTATTTAGATTTAGTTACGAAATTAATTAAAAATCACTATCGACGTCACATGCGAGTTTGATAATTAAATATATTATGAAATGTACGTCAAACTCGTTATACATATTTCTACAATAAACCACAATGGAGTGTAGGGTTGTGTATTTGTTTGTAACAGAGAAAAGGAAACAACATAGATCAATAGTTTCTTTTAATGATCTAAATAAAAATAACCTTTTATGTCGATTTATGCCTGTCCATACATACATCCGTCAGTCCATGTATTTTTGTGAACAAAATAGAGGTAGAATTTTTGTCCAATTGAGATGGAGCAATATTGGAGTTGTTAGATTTGAATATAGCTTCCATATAAATTTTGAATCACACATATCGTATGCAAAGTTTGTCCCAAGTCGATTGTAGATATAGTTACAGCTCCCATTTTGATATTTTATCCGATTTTATATTTATGATATCTCGAAGTTATAAAAACCACTTCACGAAATAACATAAAAATACTTCCTACAAATTTAGTGGAATATGATTCATATTAAAATAAAGCTCTCATATATTAGATCAAATTTAATCCGCTATGAATGAATAGTTGGTATGATTTACTTGTGTGAAAGCTCTGCTGAATATCCAAAGTAATGAAAACGAAAGCAAACTAATCGAAGAAAAATCCCCGTTTAATTTCTGATAACAACAATCAATATAAACGTCTAGTGGATAACATCTCATTCAAAGCCAGGGGAACACGCAGCGTGGGTAACTTTTGGGTTTTTTTAGTTATAACTGGAAAATTTAATTTCTTTCAGGGTAGACCCCCTTTGAAATGGCTTCGAAATGCATCTCTGTGTACGCTCCTGTTTATAGCTGTCATAAAGTGAGTCTGTGCATTTTGTTCCGATCAAAAAACAGGCGGTCGTATTAAGTTGCGGCAAATGAACTTTTCATACGAACGCTGTTTTTGCTTTGCTAATTAACTCTCACATCTGATAGTGGTTTACTGACGTAGTAAAAATTTTCAACTCAATGGATCATATCAGCTTCGCAGAGGGATTATTAAATTTGTTGTGAATTTGTAAATTAATTATTAGAGATAGGGTCTTTATATTTAGTGACTGAGAAAATGTTCATTTAATTTAATATAGTCGATACGCGAAAAAGAACGATGTTCTAATTATGGTGTGGATTGAATTATATAGATTAAGTTATTTATAGAAAGTACTGTTCATATTCAATTAAAAAAAAAAAAAAACTATTAAATTATCCGTTTGCAATAAAAGTTTAAATTCCTACTATATAACTACTTCGACATTTTTGTTTCCTGCCGAAACAAAGGAACCACTCAATAAAGAACCTGCATATTTATCATAATTAATATCTGACGAACATCGTTATTTGATTGATTACTTCTGTCATAAAGAACATGCCAATGCTTATTCAAATTTAATTTATTATTGCTGTAATGATTTAAAGCGTCTTCAAGTTTTTTAAAGCCAAAATTTAAGGTTAAAATTTTCTAAATCAATATAATGACTAAAACGTGTTGAAAGTAACCTTTACATCTAAAATGGTCACACATATGCATAACATTGATTTATTGAAATTGTGATTTTGAAGAGTTTTCTCAATTGTATAATATTTAAAATACAATATATTGGAAATATTCACTCAACTATAATTTTATCGTCATGATTTATCACCTCAACAAATATTTGAGAAGTTACATTGATTAAAATAAACTCTTTGTATACAAAACAGCATATTGGAATAAGATTTGTATTTTCTGTGAGAGCCAGGATTTCTTAATTGTTTGCGATTGAAAGAATTTTTCAGTGTATTAAATCAAAGAGCTCTTTACTGGCCTTTGTCGACAAATTAGTTGGTAGTTGGCCCAAAAATTAAACACATATCCAATTCAACTTTCGAGTAAAGAAAGGCTAAAAGTCATGTGGGGCCGTCTTTATGATACCCTACACTACTTATCGTAGAGATATCCATAGTGGTCGAAAAGTGGCACCTGAGCTGAACATATCGCAGTATTCCATTCAGCAAATATTGAAAAACGAGCTCAGGCTAAAGTCATTGAAATTACAAAAGTGCAATATCTTACGCTGCAACAGAAAGAAAATAAAGTCCAAAGAGCTAAAAAATTGCTTCGCTTGGCCGAAAGTGGTGAACTGGTTGGTTTTCTCCAATGAGAAAAAAATCGTTGTCCAGCAGTTTGTAAACAAACAAAATGAAACAAGCTGAAAATGTGCACCTTCGGTTGGTCACCAGGACTCAAACGGCGGCCATGGTGATGGTGTGGGCCGCCATAACAGCCGATGGTCGCTCTCCGGTCGTATTAATCGACCGTGGCAACGGAATAAATGCCGAATATTATCGCGAAAATATTCTGGAGGGTGTATTTAAGCGCAAACATTTTGCCGCAGAACTTGGACATTCCAACAGGACTCAGCACCATCGCACTCAGCGCGAGCCACTCAAGAATGGTTCCAAATGCGGCTCCTCGCTTCATTTCCAGCCCACAATGGCCACCAAAATCTCCGGATACCAATCCGTTGGACTACTGTGTCTGGAGTATACGAAAGTGTCGATCATCTCAAGCAAGCGCTTCGCCAGGAATGGGCCAAAATTCCACAAAGCAACATTCGGGCAGCATGTGACGGTTCCATTGGCCGTTTGAAGACCATAATTTGTAACAAAGGTAACCAATTTGAACAAATCTAAAATTGTTCTAAAATTTGATGCTATTTCCGACATTTTTTTCTTTCATTCAATAAAATTAAAAAAAATGCAAAAATATATTTTTTTTATTTCACCCTGTATATGGGAGAGATATTCTCTCTGAATCTTTTTTTATTAAATTTGACGGAAGCACTTACTTTCAGTATAAATTCGTATGTTCCAAAAGTTATTCAATTTGGGATTCTATTAACCATTTGGTGAATGATAAACTAGAAATCGAGTAAAAATATATATGAACTATATCCAAATCTGAACCGATCTCGATAAAAGTTGGCAAATGTATTTCTGAGCTATATTTGATATATTTCCCCGAATATAGTTGTGACAGGGTCCATATTACGACTGTGGAGGACAAAAATAAAAAAAAATAGATTAATATATAACTAATATCTGAACCGATTTCCACCTAATTTGGCAAACCTATTTCTAGAATCA